CCCCCCCCCCTTTTAAGTCTTCGTCCGCGAAAACACAAATATTTACAACCCAGGTTTGGGTATCCCCTTGTCAAACATACACCAAATGCTTGAAACAAGGCTGACTACAGTTGCCATTGTAACAAGAGAGGAAAAAATGCACGGCCAGACTGGGGTTCGAACCCAGGACCCTCCGAACTCTAGACGGACGCTCCAACCAAACTACATTATGTACCTGGTCGACGACGATCAACCCAGTCCAGTTCCGCTTCACATATCCAATAGCAGTTAAGAGAATGTTAACGATCTCCGTCGTTCTTGTATGCAATACTATTCTTATTAGTGTAAAACACAGCATTGTAGCATTCGTCTACACAAAGATAAGATTTCCTTTAGGCTCGTATTGTAGTTCGTGTATGGTCTTATTGAACACATGAAAATGATCTTTTGAACACAAAATAACTGTTTGACGTTTTTGTTTTTAAAACGATTTAATAGGATATTAGTGGACGCAGGCATTGCTGCCTCTATATCCACATCAATATAGTTTGAAATACGCCGTGGTAAACATAAAATAAGCCTATACATAAGGCGCGGTATGGTCATTTTATTTCGCCTATGTACAAATATATTGCTAGAATATAAACATAAATTGCACCTTATATGCTACACTAGTGTATGGGATATACTCAGGAAGACGACCTGTCAGTCTAACTAAGGAACGGATCGGATAGTTTGACGGACAGGCAGATATAATCTGTTATCAGTAGGGAAGCTATTCTGTCGAGAATTCTCAATTATTTTCCGAGGCGTTTCTCAAGACTCGCTTGATACCAAGCCACTTCTGATTATGCTGGAGAGTTTCTGCTATAATGGAAATACACAAATTCGTTTTACAAACTCAGCTTGCCTTTCGCTGTGGCAAATTGATACGTCTTGTATTATCCATTCATAATTAACAAATTATATGCTAATATAATTTATTTATGTTCACAAGTTATAAACTAATATTATTCATTCATAATTCACAAATTGGATTCTAATATTATTTATTCATAATTTGCGATTAGATACTGATATTATTCATTCATAATTTACAGATTAGATATTAATATAATTCATACACAATTCACAAATAGGATGCTAATAATATTCATTCACAATTCCCAAATACAATATGCTATCAACTATGTATATCCTGAGGCAGATTCCACGTTGACCGCTAATCTTGTTGCAGAAAGTAAGGGTGGTCGGATAGCGCGGTGGATAGCGCACTCGTCTTTCACCCATACGTCCGTGGTTCAATTCCAAATTGGACGATAAAAAGTAATGACTACATCTGCCAATAGGACGTAAAACACAAACAATACAAATCCAACTCTCAACACGACGTCTACTAAATATACTCTACGGATCAGTCTGACACCATACCTGGTCACCTAAACCGCTTACACTGGTCAGTCTGACACCATACCTGGTCACCTTAACCGCTTACACTGGTCAGTCTGACACCACACCTGGTCACCTTAACCGCTTAAACTGGCCAGTCTGACACCACACCTGGTCAGTCTGACCACTATGTCTGGTCAGTCGGACACCACATCTTGTCAGCCTAACAACTTTAACTGGTCAGTCTGACACCACATCTAGTCAGCCTTACAACTTTAACTGGTCAGTCTGACACCACATCTTGTCAGCCTAACAACTTTAACTGGTCAGTCTGACACCACATCTAGTCAGCCTTACAACTTAAACTGGTCAGTCTGACACCACACCTGGTCAGCCTAACCACTATATCTGGTCAGTCTGACACCACATCTGGTCAGCCTAACCACTTTAACTGGTCAGCCTGACACCACACCTGGTCAGCCTAACATTAAAACTAGTCAGTTTGACCGATAAGGTTAAGATACGAAGAAGCGAAACTAATTTCCCATTACATTTTACTACTAGCTTATTTCCCCCTAATTTGAGATTTTACGAGTTATTACAGCTATTTTTTAGTCTCACTTTTCTAGAGACGGGGGCCAGTCTAGAAGCGATCAGATAATTATTCCCCAGCAACTGCCGGAGGTACACTTTTTTCAGTGGTCCTACATACAAATGTTTATTATTAGCCTACTTCTGTGATATATGCATACGCTCTTAAGTTATTTGTGGTATTCTTATCGATTACATAATTTGTTTTAGATAAAATTATCGGTTACTTTCACCTTGAAACGTATTAGGAGCGCCCGACTTATCAGGCGGCAACACGAGACTGTGATTGTAAAGTCAGCAACTATGAGGTGTTTGGGGTTATTTTCGTATTATATTTGATACAAATGTCGGTCCTAATATAAAATAACATAGATGGCCGATGTACCAGACATACACATATTTTGGGTGTCTTGTAGCGAGAGATTGAATCCTCCCTCGGTATGCAGATAGGGTACCCCGTGCATACCAAAGCAGTGAAAAGCGTACGTAGCACGCGCTGCCTTCCTCAACAGAAAAACACCGACGGGAAGCCGGGCTGTTGACATTGCAACCTATTGTTCAGAACATCAAACCGTATTTAAGATAAGATTGTTATGATCTTACACTACTTTTTCATTGCACAAGTAATTAGTTAAGAACTCCGGTAAACAAAACCTTGGGATATATTCCAGATACCACTTCCCGTCAGCTTCAATGTCAGACGGATCCAAATCTTCTCCATCAGCTTATATATACGATAAAAAATGGCAGGCTCTTTAAGATAAACGTTGTGTACTTTCCAGGTCCATCAGCGGTTTTACTATACTCTACAAGCAGCTGTTTATTTTCAACTTCCCAGTTTGACGTTAAAAACATCTTAAAGCATTCTGTTGGCAGGTAAAAAAGATGAGGAAGCGATTTCGCCGATGAAGAGTTTCTCACTACATCTGATCTTTGTGTTTCATTTTTGGGTTTTCCATAGTAAGCAATTTGATTTGTTTCCCCCCTTTTTTGCATGAAGTTTATGTGTTGATATATATTACATATTAGATATTTTTAAGTTCTGAAATTCAATATTTTTTGGGAGGGGATAGGTGTGTGAATTACATTACAGGTTTACCTCATGTCTTTTAGCTTGCCTTGTGGTATCAGGGATTCATACATTAAACTTACTATACCGCAATTATATTACGAGATAGAATATGCATAAAATTTGTGTTATTTTCTTTTCTATATTACATAGAATATACATAAAATAAATATAAAATACGAATGATAATACAGGTATAACATTAATTTCATTTGTATTTGAAACATGGAATATTTTTAATAAAGCGATACATACTATATTCAAATAACCTATGTCAAATTCAGCACCGATAAGACGTTTGTGGGGTGGGGTTGGGGAATGGGTGGGGAGGGGGAGGGGCTTTTTTTGCTAAGGAAATAAAGCTTTCATATTCGAGCATAGCTAGGCGGTTTCGAGATTGTCTAAGTAAGCTTGACAGCTGTAAAATAAAACTATTTGTAATGGCAGGCAAACCTATCATCGGGAGATAGATTATCTGAAGTAGTCCATCTCCCAGGGAACAGTAACCATGGGGGGCCTAAAAACAAAAAAACATCATATCGTGAATCTGTTGTCAGAAGGCGCCTTATGAAAGGTCTCGATCGCCCTTGATTAAAAAACAATAGCAGTGATTTATGAAACTGACAAGGAATACCGGAATCTTATTCTGAAAATCAAGGAATATGTCGATAAATGAAACGATATAATAAGGGGTGGTATTTTTTTTCTTTATTCATATAATCTGATACTTGCTTCAAAATGAAACTTTTATGAAATTATTGTTCATCCTTAAGTTCAACATGTGTTTACTCAAGACCGCCTGAGAGAGAATTATCTC